TCCTCTGTTTAGAACGAGCCCTTCATTTCAGGGGACAGAGAAACCCCCAAATCCTCTTCCGTAGGGTGCTTACAGAACGTGGGGGGCGGGGAATACGAGCATCTCGAGCGTTTCGACATTTGAAAACTTGACTCTGGGGAATCATTGAATCGTATATTGCAAGTTTCAGTGTCTAATGAAATTTGTGGGTCACATATTATTGGGTTTGCAAAACCCCCGCGTCGCACGCCCCAGGTTTGGGCTCCGGTGCGGAAGCTGGGCAGAGCGGCGGTGGGGAGGGTCTCGGGTCCCCAGGCGCCGCGCGCGGGGCTTCTGCCCAGCTTCCTGCCTCGGAGTCGCGGAGTCCGCCCCAGCCCGGAGCAGTTTGTGCAATGTAGAAACTCGATAGGAGGCAGCAGCTGATCTCCCACCACCCTAAAAATAATCCGCTCCGGCGCACTGCCTGCTTCGGCTAGGGGAGGAAAACTGTCATCCGAGTAAGTGAATCCGTGTCTTTTACATATATTTCATTTAAAAAAAAATTTAAGAGTAACTGTAAACTGTCGATTTTGATCTAACATTTCGGCAACCAAAAGGCGCCCGCTCGCTCTCTCGGCGCTTCGCTTCCACGATCGCTATTTCCAGGATTAAGCGACGAGGCCCGGCTGGAGAAGAGAGGGGGTGGGGGTCAGGTTTCCAGTTTTACTTCGAAACTGCCGGCTCCTGCATAAACCAGCTGGAAACAGTGAAAGAGTTATTAACTCCCTTCTCTTAGACATTTCTTGTATTGTTCATGAAGTAGCTTTCTATCTGCTTAATTTTTGTTATTCTTTGCTGTTTTAGGAGGTCTGCGTCCCGGATTGAAATTTACATCTTAAGACAGTATAGAAAGTGGATGTTTTGAAAGTAGCACAAGTGCACCCGTAGGGGGTTGAAGCAGCCTCAAGTTATTGCCCAAGGTATTTATTTATTTTTTGCTTTATTTGTTCAGTTTGGGATTTTTAAAAAAAATCCCATTGCAGTATCTAAGGGATATCTGCTGAGTAGTTACAACATTTCTTTTGGTGTAGGATAGAATTTCACAGCCACTGAAGAGTAAATGGGTGGATTGAGACCAGGCACTAAATCAGAAGTCAGTGGACATTTTTGCTAGTGATTTTCCTACTTGGATCTGTCATAGCTAGCTAGCTATACTTATGGTAGCTAGCCAGCTAGCTAGAGAGATATCTTCTAGTTCTTTCATGAACGCTCGACTAAATAACTTCAGAGAAGTTATTACAGCATTTGTTTCACAAGTGATCTCCCTCCTGAAAATGCCCTAGATAACGGTGAAGCCCTAAGTTCTTTAGAATGTCATGTTTCTGTCTCATAACATAATTTGGTTAACCTCTAAATAACTAAAGAATGAATCGTTTTGTATCTAACAATGAACATTTTTATGTTGAGTTTAGTATGTTTTCTTCAGGTGTTTCCCAGCATTTTAAAGTTCTCTGGAAGTCCTACTCAATTAGAACTGACACTTTCTGCTGGTTGAACAGGAAAGAGAGCTAGTTTTCACTTACTTTACTTGCAGTCTACTTGCAAATGAGAGGGCTGGCAAAAATAAATGATGTGCCTGATATAACTTAACTTTTTAAAGAATTTTTAGAATTAGATCAGATAATTACTATTCCCCTCTTACAGAGGAACCAACAGAGCTGATAGGTCCATTATTATATTCATTGACTTAATTCAAAATTTACAAGTCTAGGTGTGTGGAACTTCATATAATGCATTTGAAGGGATAAGAATACTGAGGGTACTATTCTTGCCATGAAATCATAAGTTAGAGCATTGGAAGTATTTTCATTTTAGGTTTTCTGTTCTACAGATCATCTTTATAATCCAAGTTCCACTTCTGATCTTTGTCTTTAAAGTTTATTCAGTCCAGTTCTCCTATTAGCTCCCAGAAATGTGGAATATCTTTCAGTGGTTTATTCTTGTGGGGAGGAAAATGTTGTCTTCCCATCTGCCCTTTCTTCCTTCTCCCTCCTCCTTGACAGAGGGCCCCTGTCAGTGCTTAGCTGAACCTAGGCAGCTCCAGAAGGGGCGGGGCTAAAGGATGTCAAATGACAGAGTTTAGTCAGCAAGAACAGCAATTTATACCCTTCCCAAAGCATTCCTAATTTAACCTGGTTTCTGGGAAGGGAACATTGAATGACAATTGGGAATTTAAGAATTAGTTAGAAATCTTGATTGAATGAAATATCTTTGATAGACACAATAATTATCAAGATATCTGCAATAAGTTTCTCTTTCCCTCTTTTTGTCCATGTCGGTTGTAATGTGCGCTGGCTGTTAGAATGTGCCAAATGACCACTGGATACTGGAGAAGGAAACTAAGGGTCAAGGGGAAAGGGCAGAGGGGGAAGCAAAAGAAAAGAAAGGTAACAGAAGCCATGTGGTAAGAGGTAGTGGACAGGCTGGTAGCCAGGGAGAATGTGAAGTTAGAGATTATGGTAGAAAGAAGAAATCATTCTAAACTGTTCCCATTACCAATTCAAAGTATGCACCTTTGCCTGATTGTGTCATGGGATAGTTCCCTGTCTTTTAGATCATATACCCTTACAGTATACCAAGAACTATTGGGACTAACATAGTCTGATTTATATAGTCTTAAAATCACAGGCACTGTTTCTATCTTTTGCACTATTGGATTCCTAGTAACTAGCATGTGGTCAGCATCAGTAAGTACTTTAACAGTTAATTAATTAGTGGCTTACAATCCCAGATATCTGGTATATGCTAAAAATGTTCTCAAACTTTTTCATGTTGTACTTCTCTGAGATTTTCTTTCAAAGTTACACATAACATTTATCCAAAGACAATTTAATTGGTAGGTTTCAGGATTGACTAAATACTAGGCAGGCAATTCTTATAGCTAATGAAGTATATGATTTGCAAATTCAGGTTATATTTTAGCATCTGGCTCAGTGATAATGGTTTATAAATGTGGCCAACTGGAATGTTATAATTTTGGATAAAATTACAAAAATAGCTAAAGCAAAAATTATTTTCTGGTTCATGCTAGGAAAGAGTTTATACATGTCTTTGAATTAAGAGTGGGCTTTAAATTTCCTTTTATCATTTCTACTAAATAAAGGAAGTAGTCTTAAAAATTCCATTACTAGCTATTATTTTTTAGTTTTTGTTTTATTCTGTCTTTATGAGAGATACGTCTAACATACACATATGAATTAATATCTTCTATTTTGCTGTTATTTAAAAATCTCAAGTCCTTTTACATTCTTTTATCCAGCTTAGAATCTTAATAGCTTGTAAGAATTTGCCAAGTACATAACTTCATCCTGAGTTTTAAAAAATATAACTTTTTTTAAAGATGAGAAAAATACTCAACTAGAGTACATATCAGTGATTTATCAAAAAAAGGATTTATCAGAAATAAATATCTGAGAGAGATTCTGTATAAGCATTTAAGATTATAAATACACAGACTCTCTAGCTGTTGTATTCATATTATAATGCTTCACTTGAAATTTCCTTTGCTTGAAATCTGATTTCTCCAGTAATTTACTTACTGTTGTCAATCTTTTCTGTGTAACACTCTTTGTTTTTTTCTAGGAAAAACATTGTTTGTGACCATTGCTAAATCAATTATCAATGAAAGGAAAGAAAGAAAAGGTACTATGTTAGTTAATCAAAATTTTTGCCAGCCTTTAATAATTCAACTCATAATCCAGTGTGACATAAATATGGAAAAGAAACAAAGTCCAGTGAGGTTAAAATCTCAAACTGCTGCTTGATTTCAAGAATAGATGAGATAATTTCTTTAAAAAAAAAACAAGTTTGAGTTTGCATGATGCAGTGGAAAGACATAGTTTCTAAGTCAGACAAGTGGGTGTGGATCTGGCCCCCCTGCTTGTTCATACATTACTGAACCTTTCTGGACCTCAGTATTCTCCATTGTAAAAGGTAAATAACACCACTAACCTTACAAGGTTGTTCTGAGGACAAGATAATGTATGCACGGTGCCCAGAATTTAGTAGGTGCTAAATAAATAGTACGCATGATAAAAGAAGTTTTCAGAATGCTAAAGCTCTTGCTGAAATTTCATAGTAGTGTTTTTATGGAGCAGAACTTTACCCCTCTGCCATCTGTTTTAGCATTGCAATGAGAGGAATCCATTTAGAATGTGACAGCTTGTCACTCTGCTCAAAAAGCCCCAGGGCCCACTTCTCAGAATAGAAGCCAAAGTCCTGACAGTGACTTACAAAGCCCTGTGTAATCTTGTCTTCTGTTTCCGCTCTAAACTCATCTACTTCTACTCTCATGAAGTACAGATTCCCAATTAAAAGACATCCTTAATTTTAAACTTGAGTAGAGTGCAGTCATGTGAGAATATTCTGATGATGGGACCTGAGTAGTTTCATTAACTTGTCACTTGAGTTATATTTAATTTGTCTTGAGCACTTGATTTTTAATATTCTTCAGAGAAAGACTGATTGCTATTACCAATCACATCCATCTCTGTGTATTCCATTTTCCTGCAATTAATGAATTGTTTCAGAAAACTGTATCCAGCTAAAGTTATTCATTAATGTGTTTTCAATGAATGTAAGAAAGGATTTGAAATTACACCATTTTGACCTTTCAGTCATTTAGTTTAATTTTTTCCCATCCTTTTTCTTGATATATTACCATTTTTTATTCTTTAAAATAATTTTAGTGAGATACCACTATAGGTAGGATATTAGTTATAGTTTCCAAATTAAGTATTTTTCTCTGGGGAGTAAAAGAAAGCTACGGAAAAGAGGACCTTATAGCACATTTAAGACATTTCTAAAAAGCCCTCAGGTTACTTTGGCATAGAGTTTCCTATTCCTCAACTGAAAAAATAAGGGGGATTAATTTTATGATATAAACACCTATTTAAGGCTGTCATTTTATGAAAGAGTTTAATAAGAAGAAGGGCTTTTCTTTCTCATTTCTCACCCTTTTAGAATAAACCATATAAGAAGAAATGAGCTTTTCATTTTGTGGTAACAACATCTCTTCATATGATATCTATGATGGTGTGTTAGAAAACCCCTGCTTTGTGGATGCGCTCAACCTGGTCCCCCATGTCTTTCTGTTGTTCATCACTTTTCCAATATTGTTTATTGGTGAGTAATCTAATGTCCTATAATATACCCCCTAATGTTTATGAGGCTTATCAATGGCTGTGGTATGGGATAATGCTCATTTAATTTCTCCAACATGAAAGCTAATGTGTAAGTCTATAAGAAATGAACAAGCAAGTGTTTTGTGTTTTCCACATATTTTTGGCATGTAATATTTCATAGGTGAAATAGCAGTTGCATGCCTGCTTATGAATGGCCTTCAGGTAGCAGTAGTAGTTTTTGAAAAAGAAGGCAAGAGGTAATCATCTGAAATAGAGCTAAAGCATTCGTTGAGCACTCCCTTTGTGCGAGCTGAAGGGAATGAAAAATGGGTAAGACAGAGTACTTGCCTTCCAGGAATAGTCTAATGGAGTAGATGTGTTAAAGTCAAGAAAAATGACTATGCCACATTGTAAGTCCACTTACAGGTACAGGAACAAATTATCTTGGGCATGAGCCTGCTAGAACAATAAACTCTTCTTGGGGCCACCAGGGAAGGTTGCATAGTAAGTGACATGTTTGGGGACTTGAAAGATGCAGAATGTGCAGATTAAAGTGGGAGTGATGGGTTGTGTTTTAGGTAGAAAGAGCTCATGCACAAACTATTTGGAAAGAAATTAATAATACAGTCTCTCCTATTATTTCACAGTTTACATATGTACAAAATCCAATTATTTAGGGCAATTATTTATAATTTTTGTAACTTCCTCCAAACAACCAAAATAGACCATTTAACTTTTTTAAAATTATAAAATATTTTTGTATATAAAATGATGAAGATTCATATAATAAACATCCGTTGAACCTACCACCACTCACCTTAAGGAATATAATAGAAGGAATGAAAGGCACGCCCTCTGCATACCATTTCCTGATCTTGTTACTCTTCCCACATCCTATCTCATCATAGGAGGTTACCATTATACTATTTTAAATTATTTGTGTTTAATTTTCCCATGCATGATTTTGCCTATAAAAATAAATGGAAAAGGTATCAGATGGATTTTCTTAAGAAAACTAGAATAATTTAACGATCTGCTTAAAAGGAAGGTTTGAAGATGATTTGTATGCTTTTACTTATTTATTTAACAAATATTAATTGAGAGGATACTATGCACTTGGCATTATTCTAACAGAGATCAAAGAATTTCTGTCATATGGTATATACAGAGGCCAACATAGCTCTTGGCATATATTTATTTTAAATGAATGTACGGACACTAAATATACTGGGACCAGAGTGGCCATATGCAGAAACACTAGTCATTGTTTATGTGATACTATTTGTAGGGTATTAAGAATGCCCTTCAGCCAAAAGTAGAAAAATATTTTTTACTGTTAATTATAATTAATAATTTATTTTTGACATTTAATTAACTTCTTGAGAGCAAGGACTGTGACATTCCTTTTTGTGTCCCTGGTATCCAGCACAGAGCCTGACAACCAGGATATGTGAATGGAGTGGTATTGGAATGGACATTGTCAAAGGGAAATGGAGTAAAATGCAGACTGTTCATTTATAGCACTGGCTACTTAATTTAGTGAAGGATGATACATAAATATCAAAGAAGTATCAGGTACTAGGAAGATTATAATGTTGCAAAAAAGACACAAAACTTGCCTGCAAGAGTTTATAGCATAAAGTTCCAGTAGAAAATATTAACTGTAACTAACTTTCTTCCAATGATGAAGTCAATTTGGAAACAACTAACACGTGAATCAACTTTCTTTTCAAAGAATGTTTCAAGGGTCCCTTTTGTCTATACAGAAATTCCTTCCTGCAATATTCCAAGTACAACTCCCCATTTATTCTTGAAGTTTATGGGGCTTTTTTTTGTTTTTCTTAAAATAGTGAATATCCATTTTTCTACTTTTGGCCAAAGGGCATTCTTAATGACCTGCAAAAAATGACAAAATAAAGGAACAAAAGGAGACAAAAGTGGAGTCCTTTCCTAGCATACCATATACGAAGTGGTATTATTCTACCTGTAGTTTTGGGAGGAAACCATTAAACTTTTACAAATGTAGTCTGAATTTTTTTCTTCGGTGATAAGCTAAGGGTAGACCTATAATATTTTTGAGCCCTCTTGAAAAATCATCGATGAACAAACTAGCTTTCTTTGAGAAAAGTTCAGTATCACTTGTTAAATAGTGTTGCTCCAGTCATAGACAATAATTTTTCTCATATGATATGCATATGATTAAGAGTTGACTCAACTAATGCATCGTGTAGTTCATAACCAAATATGTCTTTTTTTGGTTATCTCTCCACAGATCCCATGTTTTGAAAGATTTTAGACACCAAATTTCTTTTATTATTATCATCAATTTGTTTCCTTTTGAATGAATCAGAAAACTATCAGGAAGAGCTTCTGATTAGTGTGAGATAAAACCATGTTGTCATCTGGAGTTGGTGTTATTCCTGAGCAATGCAACAAATGTTAATGTGTTAGCCTAGGCAGTCTGTAAAAATTAATTGAAACTTTATTTTTTAACATAATGAAAATAGACCAGGATTTCCATTGCTACTCGAGAAAGCATTAATGTTTCAGGAGCCCCTCCCCCAAAAGCTTATCATAATGTAAATTATTTCCATGATTATAATTGATCCTTTTGTTTATCTCTTTTTAACTTTTTTTCCAGGATGGGGGAGCCAAAGCTCAAAAGTACAAATTCACCACAACACATGGCTTCATTTTCCTGGACATAACCTGAGATGGATTCTTACATTTGCTCTCCTATTTGTGCATGTTTGTGAAATAGCAGAAGGCATTGTTTCAGACTCGTAAGTGACTCGATGTACATTATACCATTACAATATATTATACTAGTGGGTATATTAATATAGTAGCTAACGGCATATCAAGTCAGGCTTAATTTTGGGGGCATAACCCATTAGGAATGACAGCTGTCATCCATTTTATATGATAATCAAGTATTTTGTCTGTATTTTTCTGTTGCTACATATTTCTTTCAGATCTCTGACATGCCCATGCATGTACTTTATATTCTTGGCCCCCTGATCCGTGTAGCCCTTAGAAGAAAGTTCTTCTCTCCTTTTAAACATTTCAATGCTTGATTTATCTTTAAAAATAGGTATAAATAGAAAGATTGTCTATATTGATATATAGCTCTAAATAGCTATATATTTATATATTAATTAGTTCTCAGATGTTTCAGTTTATGTTGTAACGAAGCAAAGATAGATGAGGCAGGCATTAAAAAAGTCCAAGAACCAGTGAGGATAGAGCCACAAATTAAGGCAAAGTGCACAATTACTTTAAAATCAAGATTTGTCGTAAAATCCATATTTTTGAAGAAATTTTGTCATTCTTATAAAACAAGAAGTTTGTATTAGGCAGTTAGGATATAATGAATTGTATTTGTAAACTTTAAGATAATCTGGGGAAAATAGTTTTCATATATAATAACAAGATAAACTCAAGTAATAGGAAAATTTTCATTATGAAATTATGCTAAATTATACCTTTCCCTGAAGACTTAATACAAGAAGGCCTTTGAAGTTTTTAAAAGGAAACCTCCAAAAATAATTGTCTTCTTATCTAATAATAACCTCCCCTGACATCTGTTTATGTTTTTCTGTTGCAGTTAGCAAGGAATGAAATTTCTAAGCTTTCGTCAGGGAGCCAACTATTTTGTAATGTTTTATAAGGGTTCATTGCAGATATGAGGATGTCTTAATTTCTGATAAAAAGAAAAATCAGAGACTCATTAATACATGCCATCCCTCCAAGCATTTAGAAGCTTAATTGGTTATTATCTTATTGATAACTGTTTAAAACCTTCTGGTGTATTTGTTCTAGCATAGTTAATTCTAGTCTTAATTTTTTTATTTCCTTAACATTTAGGCTTACTCTGTATGTTTCTATGTGTATGTATAAAGTGGACGATATTAACAGATCAGTCCAATATTTCTCAAAAACTTGACATCATATGGGTAAGGAGGACTCTTCCTTTCCAGCCTCATGGTTGATGGGGTTCAGTAAGAGACTTGGAAATCACAGGCTGAACTAATAATGATAATGACATGTGCTAATGGTGGATGCTTGTTTGTAGTGGTAGGGATACAAGAGGCCCACCCTGCAGACAAACAGGCAAAAATACACCCTTGATCTTGTGCTATGCTCTCCTGCTGTTTAGACTTCTTCTTCTCCTTTTTATCCAGGCTTTTCAAAAAGTCATCTACCAGTTACTTCCAAACCCAGAAGTTTAGTTTTCTTTTTCTCTTGCCCCTTCTTATTCTGGAAACTGCTTCTACAAGAATCTCTGTGATCATTAATGACACTTTAATGGATACCTTTTTGCTTTTATCATAATTATTACTTTTGACACTGCTGATCATTCCTTCCTTCATTTTTTTTAACAAATGTTTATGAACTATTCTTTACTTAATATATAACAAATGCTCATTATAATTAGTAAAACAATGCAAAGGCTTTGCTAATTAAATATCTTATGTTCATTTTTAGTAATACAAACAACTAAAGCTATTAATTTTTCTTTTGGAACATCCTTATCTGTTTCGTACAGGTTTTTGTTCTCCTTTTTACTGCTACTTAAACAATCTGTGATTTCAGTTTAGAGACTGTCCTAGGTGTAGGAATTATTTTTCAGTTTGCTATTTAGTTTAATTTTATTAGTTTATTATTAGAGCATGTAGTTTGTAAAATGATTACTTTTTGGAATTTATTAACATTTTCATTGTAGTCAAATATTTGATTATTTTGAAAGTATTTAATAAGTATTAGAAAGTAATATATTTACTTTTGTAGGAGACAAAATTTTATTGAGTTTACTGATTAGATTACTAAAGTCTCATATGTTGATTATTTTGGTACTATTTATCAAATTCTAAAAGTAGTTTATTAAAATCTTCATAATTATTGTGTTTTTATTTAGATTTTAATTTTTATTATTTTGTCTTTTTTGAAATTATTCTTTCGACCTTCGTGATGTAATACTTTTTAAATTTTCTTTCTAACTTTCTGACTAAAGATTTTCTGCTATAATATGGTAGATGAACTCCTACCAAGCCATTGAGTTCTGAAAACCATATTCTAAAAAATAATAGAGCTCAAAGAAAAAATAAGGATGGGAGACCATTCAAAACCTATGCATTTTTTTACATAGAGAACTAACAGAAACTCTAGATAGAACTCTAGATAGAAATTCTAATAAAAAATACTATCATGGCTAAAATACATGTTAAATCCCTAAAAAAGAAATGCTACATTAAGTATAAAACCTTACTGTAGCTTCTGTTATCTCTTTTAATTCTTTGTAATTACTTTCATTAATGATATTTTTTCATTCTTTTTCTAACTTCTTAAATTGACTATTAATTTATTATAATTATTTCTTATTGAATCTGTTTAAGGTTATAAACTTTCTTCTAGGTATGATTGCACCACATTTTATAGTCCTTGATAAGGAGTGTGCTAATTTTTAGATTTTCTAAATATTCAGTAAATGACTTTTGGATTCTTCTTTAATTCAATAATCAGAGAATATTGGAAGCTTTTCCTAATTTCTGTGCTGATGAAATATTTATCTCCTACTTTTCCTCTTTGACCATTTTGAAGTATTTATGGGAGGTGGTAGGTGGTTTATAAGTGCTACCATACTACTTTGAAATATTTGTTACCATGTCTATAATTATTCAAATTATATCACTGATCATCTTCCAAATCTCTTCATACATTTACCTATTAGACAAATCCCTTTGCATGTTTATTAGACACCTTCACAATCCACACATCTCCACTGAAACTTACTTGCTTCCTCTCTCCAATCTGCTCGCCCTCTTAATATCTTACTTGGTTACACAACCATCCACCTGGACGTTATTTTCTACCTCCCCATTGCCATCGTCTTCATACTCTGACACTATTTAAGTCCTGTTTATTTTAACAATTGATCTTTTCCATGTATATTATTTCCTGTATGTTATTGCTGCCAAAACTTAAGCCAGGCCTTCATCACCTGTTGTACCCATAGTTTCCTAATAGCTTTTCTTCATTCCATTTCTCTCCTTCCACAAATCCACGTATACCTTCTAATTCCCTCATCCACATTTCTGCCAGAGTGACCCATTTAAAATATAAATATGACCATATCACCTACCTGTTAAAGTGTTTTAACTTTTTGCAAGAAGTGATTCCAGCCTCTGACCATGGTATTCTAAGTCTTTCATGATACATCTTGTCTTAAACTTTCTATTTCAAGAATATTAAACTACTTGGAATTTTGAACATGTTACACTGTTTCATGCTTCTATGTATTTGCACGTTCTCTTCTCTCTTTTGAAAGTGTCCACTTTCCTGACCAGTGGGTTCCTTTTTATATTTCAGTTCCTACTGTCAATCTTTCCTCTTCTGAAATGACTTTCTCAAATGTCCCCTTTCTCCCTATCTTGAACTGGTCACTCTTCTCTATACCATTTATATATTAATATATATTCAAGTAATTTGAGAAAAGTTAAATGTTTTACTCTGTGGCATTATTAACGCCACTGGAGTTGAGGGCTGTCCACCATGCACATCTGATCCTGTTGTATCTCCGGTTCACCTGGAGCTCTCTGCAGCCCTCAGGGTGAAGCCTAGTCTCCTAGCAGTTGCACTGAATTGCTTGCAATGTCCTTGAACACATCCGGTCTCTGCCTAGAATGGTCTTCCTCTCTTCTTCCTCTGGGTAGCAGTTCCTCATCCATAAGGTACTATTTTAGAAGTCACTTCCTTTACAAAGTGAAGTTTCTGTCACAGACACAAGTCCTGTGTGCTCTCACTGTCCCTTCGCCTGTGTTATAATTTCCTATTTGCTGTTGGTTTCCCCAATAGACTCTAGATTGTGTGACTTCTGATACTGTATTTATTTTGTTCATTGCTGCATGCCAGAAACCTAAACTTTTTGGACCAGCAAATGCATTTGTATTGAACGAGTTAATGAGAATGGAGAAATCACTGAAGACCGTAAAGTTTGGGGAAACTGTCAAAGGAATAAACATACTTTTTGCACACATTAGAATTCAGAGTCAGTGGACTGCTTTTATTTGCTTTTCTTGTTAGATTATTTCAGCACTTCTGCCCTTCAGTATAGGAGCTATGTATTTGTTTTTGCTGTAAGCATTTTAAGGTATAGTTTGCTGTGATTACTCAGCCCTCCGTGTTAGGACAAATGCTTCCTGCAGAATTATGCCTTTCAACACATTCTTCCCTTATGCATTCTTTTAGCAACTACTACTGCATTCTGTATTTTAAACACTTTATTGCTAAGAGAGAGGTTTAATGAAAAGACTGGGGGAAAAATGAGGAATTATCTGGAGCCCTCAGCTCTAGACACTGACGTTGTACTGCTCTTCCTAGACGGCGGGAGTCCCGGCATCTCCACCTCTTCATGCCGGCTGTGATGGGATTCGTTGCCACTACGACATCGATAGTATATTATCATAATATTGAAACATCAAATTTTCCTAAATTACTTTTAGGTAAGTGTGATCAAGGTTTTTTTTCCCTCCAAGAGAGTTATTCATTTTTCTTTTTTCTCATAAATACTGTCAGAATGGGTTGGGAGTGGGAAGCATGGGAAAATCACAGTAATTCATTCTCCTGTAGTCACCCAATAAATGTCGGGTGGAATTGAAGATCAGCTGCGTTGCTCTAGTCTGGGTTGTGAAATTTCATTCTCTCTGGACATCTGTTCTCCAATAAATGCCCCTCTTGGTGCGTCACTGTATGGAAGTGGAGGGGATGTGTTGGTCTGCTGGCTCACAGAAGTTGTGTTCTAAGAATCAGAGCTCTTGCAAGGAGCTGCTGCCCTGTGCTGTCCCGTGAACAAGTCATCTCCTCCAGTTCCGCGTTTCTGCCTCTTGGTTGGAGTCCTGAGGCATTTTCCAAAGGCCTTTTATTGATGCTGTGGGATTGCCACATTTCCCCAGAATTGCTGTTGAGGCATCGGGGGTCTTGCTGCAGCTGAGTATGCTTCCTAGCATGATGGCAAATATGCTGTCCTGAGGAGCAGCTTCCTCCAAACACAGCCTCCAACATCTGCATCGTGACTGAGATTGCTTCTTAGCCCCTCTTTCTTCCTTGTCCTCTTGGAAATCAGAGACCATCTAAGATGATCTGAATTTTACTTTTGCCTTAGGTCGAAATAATATAATGCTTCCCAATTAGTTATATTCAGTACTCTGACCCATCCTTGTATTCCTTGGTACACTGTACACGTGTCATAAAGAGATGAAGGTTCAGAACATGGATCATGGGTGGACTTCGGGGGCCTATGAACCTCCTAAAATTGTAGGCAGAATTGTGTATTTGTATGAACGAATGCTTAGATTCTGAAGTTCATGGATTGCAATTGATTGTTATATAATGAAAATGACATTGACTACTGATATAGAAATTAGGAGATAAATCATCAAAACACGTAAATAGTATTTTATTTATTTTTCCAGAAAACATTAAAATGTAAAGTACGTGCATGGAAAATACTGATTATTTAATTCTATGTTGTGTCACATTACACGATTGGGCAAAGGCAATCTAATAAAAAAGGTAGACAGGGTAAATATTAATTTAAAAGGCTTGTCGAAGTCTGAATTGTCTTAATAGAAAGCTCTTTGGTACAAAATGCGAGGCAGACATTATGACGTGTGTGAAGATGCCAACAAAAAAAAAAAAAGAAAAGTGACATTTTCAACAGGTAACTGGAAAGAAAAATATATCATTTGAATTCAATATACTAGATACACATTTTTGAAAAATTGATAGTGATAGATAGTGATAGAAAGGTTGTAAAATGTAATTAGAAAGGGATGCACACAGAAATAATATTTTGAAGGAAATATGATCAGAATCTGGCTGTAATTGTTATGTAGATGCAAGGCAGAGGGCATAATTTGATGATATTTCTAGAAGGACTTATAAAGATAAAAAAGAGTCTAACTGGCTTATTATTTTAGGAGAAAAAAAATTTGAACCTAGAAAAATTACTCTTATTTTAAAATCACAAAGCAACAAAGTACTTTGTCCCAACATATCGTTATGAAAATCACCAAACATACAGACAGTTGAAAGAATCATGTGAATTTCCATTTACCTATCACCTAAATTCTTCAATTTACATTTTATTTGTTCTGTCAGGTCTACATCTTTCTGTCCCTCTATCCATCCTTATACTCATCTTAGTTTTGTTGTATTTTAAAGTAAGTTGCAGACATTAGTATGCTTCACCACTGAACACTTCATGCATATCACTAACTAGACTTAAATATTTGTTTACTGTTCTTTTTGTGAGATAATATTTACATATGTGAAATATATGAAACAGAGATCTTAGTTTGCTAAATGCATACACTTGTATATAACACGGTCATGACAGAGCCATCATCACCCATGCAAGTTTTCTTTTTCTTTCTTTCTTTCTTTCTTTCTTTTTCTTTCTTCTTCTTCTTCTTTTTTTTTTTTTAAGAAACGAGGTCTTGCTCTGTTGCCCAGGCTGGAGTGCAGTGGTGTCATCATATCTCATTGCAGCTTTGAACTCCTAGGCTCAAGAAATCCTCCTGCTTAGGCCTCCCAAGTCCTTGCGATCACAGGTGTGGGCCGCCACACTTGGCTTATGCAAGTTTTCTTCTGCCCCTTCCTAGTCAATCACCACTTTCACTTCCACCCTCCAATATCTATTCTGATTTTTCCCCACCACAGATTAGGTTTACCTCTTCTAGAACTTCACGCAAATTGAATCACACAGTATAAACTCTTTTGAGTGAGGCTTCTTTCTCTCAGGGTGATCTTTTGGGGCTCATCCTTTGTTTTTATAATTGTTGGATAGTAGTCCATTGTATGAACATACCATAGTTTTTCCATTCTCCTGTTCGTAGACATCTGGACTGTTTCCATGTTTAGACTACCATGAAAAAAAGCTGCTATGAACATTCTTGTACAAGTTTTTTTTTTTTTTTGCGCGTGTGTGTGGCTATCTGTATTTATTTCTCTTAGGTAAATATCTAAAAGTGAAATTAGTGGGTTAGAGGGTAGGTAGGTAAATGTTTATATTTGTAAAAAAACTGACAGATCTTTTCCCAAAGTGGTTGTGACATCTTATATACTCACTAACAATGTGTGGCAGTTCCATTTCCACACGTTCACCAACATTTGGTGATCTTGGTTTTTCTAATTTAGCCATGCCGATGGGTTGTACTGGTAATGCATTGCAGTTTTAATTTTCATTTCCCTGATGACTTACGACATTGAACACTTTTTGATGAGTTTATTGTCCATTTGTTATCTTTGCGAAGTGGCTATTTATATCCTTTGCCTATTTTTATTGGATTGCATTTTTATTACTGAGCTGTAGGAGTACTTTGTATGCACTACATACTAGTATATCATCATATACGTGTTTTGAGGATATTTCCTGACTAGTCTGTGGCATGTATATTCATTTATTTAACAGGGTCTTTTGATGAATAGAATATTTTCATTTTGATGTAGTATGATTTATCATTTCCTCTTGTATTCAGTTATTAATTTCTGGGTCTGAAGAAATCTTTGCTTTCCCTCAAAATACATTCCTGTCTTATTCTCCTGTTTGCTTTTAGATGCTTTATGGTGTCAGTTTTTCTTTTTAGGACTATGATCCATTTTAAATTAATTGTTTATATGGTATAAGGTCGGTGGCAAAGTTCTTTATTTCCCAAGTGGATATCAACATGTCTCAACACCATGTGTGGGGTAGACTTTCTGTTTCCCATCAGATTGCTTTGGTACTTCTGTAAAAAAATTAAATCAAATGACTATTTATGAGTGATCTATTTCTTGGCTCTGTTTTCTGTTTCTTTGATCTATTCATGGATTTTCATGCCACTACCATTTTTTCTTGATCATGATAGCTTTGGAGGTCTTGAACTCATGAATTATAAATCACACAACTTTTTCCTTTGTTTTTCTCCCAAGATTGCTTTGGGTATTATAATTCCTTTGCATTTCTACATACAGTTTAGAATCAGGTTTACAATTTCTATAATAAAAAATCGTGATGGGATTATTATGGGGATTGCATTGAATGTATAGAACGATTTGGGATGGAATTGGCATCTCAGCAATATTGAGTATCACAATCCATTCTTCATTTATATAAGTCTTCTTTTGTTTCCCTTAGCAATATTTTGTAGTTTTCAGTGTAGAGATCTTGCACATCTTGTTAAATTTATTGCAAGGTATTTTTGTGTTTGTTTTCCGTCTGCTATTGTAAATGGAATTGTATTTCAAATTTTATTTTTCAATTGTTTCTGCTGTCTATAAAATACAATTGATTTTGTATATTAACCTTGTATCTTGCAACCTTGGAAATTCACTTACTACTTCTAGTTATTGCTTTGTAGGTTTCAAGGGATTTTTCCGTATAAATGAACATGCCGTCTGCAAATGGAGCCACTTATTTCTTTTCAGCATTTATAATGCTTTCCTTTTTTTTTTTTCCTTGCCATATTGCCCTAGATAGGACCTCCAATAAAATGCCAAATAGGCATGATAATAGTGAAATCCTGTTTGGTTCCAAATTTTAGGGGAAAAATGCTCAGTCTTTTGTAATTAATTATGTTGTTAATTATAGGTTTTTCATAGAAGACCTTTATCTGCTAAGTTTTCTTCCATTTAAAGGTTTTTTAGAATGTTTTCTAAAATCATGAATAGGTGTTGAATTTTATTAAAATTTTTCCTGCACCCATTGGAAAAGTATATTTCTGTTAATGTGCTAAATTGCATCAATTGTTTTCAAATAATGTAACAATGCATTACTCTGATAAACCACACATAGTCGTGATATGCATGCTAGATATGACTACATTTTACTTGTGAAGGCTTTTTATATTTATGTGGTGAGGGATCTTGATCTGTTATTTTCTTGTAATGTCTTTGTCAAGATATCATATCCTGGGTTAAACTGGCTTCATAAAATGAATTGGAAAGTGTTCTTTCTTTCTCTGTTTTCTGAAAAACTTTGTGTAAGATTCATTTTATTTTTTCCTTAAATGTTGAATAGAATTCACTGGTAAAGTCATCTGGGCCTGGAAGTTTAACTAAGGAAGTATTTTAAATTATGAATTTATTTCTGTATTAGGTATAGACTCTTTAGAATATCTATTTCTTCTTATGTTAGTTTTGGTAAGTTAAAGTTTTCAAACAATTTTCTATTTCATGTACATTTTAAGATATATTGTCATAAAGTTGTTCATGATATTCCCTGATTATCCTTTTAAAGTATGTAGGATATGTAGGAATAGCTCCTCGTTCTTTCTCACTAATAGTAATTTGTGTTCTTCTTCTTTTCTTGATCCATCTTTCTAAGGAACCTATGAATTTTCTTAATCTTTTCTTAGTCAACCTATTGAGTTTGTTCATTTTATCAAGTGTTCATTTTCTATTTTATTGTTTCCCATTTTTATTTCTCTTATTTTCACTATTTATATATTTTTGTTGTTCTTTGTTTTTCTTTCCCTGGCTTTTAAGATGGAAATGCAGGTAATTTATTTTGGACCTAAAATAAATATCTAAAGGTATTAGTACTTAAGTCTTGTTTTAGTTGCATTCCTTATGTTTAAAATATGTAGTATTTTCATTATAACTTAGGTAAAATATTGTATAATTTCCCTAGTGATTTGTTCTTTAACATGTGGATTATTAGAAATGTGTTGTTTAATTTTGAAATATTTGGGTACTTCTGGATATCTTACTGTACACAAAGACCCAAAGATTATCTCCATTATCTCTGTGCCTGGTGTTCATATGCTGTATGATCTTCTCCCCTTCAGTGAGAGTGAGACCTGTGCCTTGTGTCTAGCCAATAAAGTATGGCATGGAGTATGGTCTCAAATCAGCTGAGCCTTTGTTGAGATTGCAGCCCAACTTGGATTGCAGCCTGGGGAGACCCTGGAGCAGAGAATCAAGGGGGCCCATATTCAGACCCCCAAACCATGGAAACTGTGAGATAATAACCATGTACTGTTTTAAGCTGCTAACTTTGTAATAATTTCTTAAGCAGCAATAGAAAAAAATAGGCTTATTGTTCTTGATTTTTTAATTTAATTTTATTGTGATCAGAGAACATACTCCATATGATTTTTGTTAGTTTAAATTTATTGCTCTTTGTTTTCTGAGTGAACATGGAGTTTCTACTAGTACCATATGCACTTAACAAGAATATATATTCTGAAGATGTGTGTAGTTGATATTTGGACTAAATATCAAATCGTTTTATGAATATTAAATGGTATGAGGTAATTGATAGTGTTCAGATCTTTTAAGTCTTCATTTGCCACATGCATAGTTTTGATTGTCTTTCTGAAAAATTGATCCTTTTATCGTTAAGAGTCTTTTTTTATTTCTGATAATATTCTTTGTCTTGAAGTCTACTTTGTTTGATATAAATATAGCCACTCCGGGTTTCTTATTCTTACTGTTTTCATTGTATATCTTTCCCATCCACTTATATTTAATTTACACTTTCTCGTATTTATGGTGAATATCTTTAGGTAGCATAAAATTTGATCTTTTTTTTTTTTTTCTAAATCCATTATGACCATCTCTGTATTTTAAGCTAAAACGAGGTATACATATAGTTCATGTGCCAATGTACAGTTATTTTTCACTAAGGAAGTTGTGATCACCCTTAACCTTTCTGGCTCTGATAAGTGTTGTCCAAACTGGATTGTCTTATATGTGTTTTAGAGTTCTTCTTTCTTATACCATTCTCATTTGTACCAACCTCTATTCAAAGTTCAAAGTAGACTGAATCCTTGCCAACAGATTTCTAAGAAAGTCTCTGTTTCCTTCTATATTTGCTGCAAAATGCTGGTCGTGGTTTTAAGACAGTGTAATACCTGCCTTTCTGGCCTATTTGGGGTCTGGGTTTGCTCTATAAGATCACTGTTCTCTGTGCTCTGTGGATGAGTGTAGTATTTTAAATCATTTAGATAAGAAAAGTCACTTACTACTTGAATGACGATATGTGAAACAGAAACCCTATTACATAGTTACATGAGTTTCGTGATAACTCCAGGGTAATACTAGCATACATACCCCTGGAGTTGCAAAACACTTAGTGGATTGGTTACACAGATACCAACTTGCAAATTATTCACATAGTCAGGGTGCTTAGAAAGCAAGACCAGAAGATAAAGCCACTTTTTAAATTTACAGAATTACACATAAATTTTGAAAAGTCTAGATTATCCTTATTTATGTGTCTCCTTACATCTTCCCATCTATCCCATGTAATCAGAGTGGAAGCACTCAACATTCTGAAGTTATTATCATACCTCCTATTCAAATCTCCAGAAGTAAAAGAAAACATATATGTTGTTTTCTTATCAAATAAAAATAGAGTATTTAAAATTGCCTATTTAAAAAGCATTATATTTATGTTGAAATGTTAGTACAGTTTGGAAAAAAAACAGGAAAAGATTGTATCTTTTTCATTTTTTCTTTAATTTTTTTCAGCCTTATTTTTGTATTGGGTAATGGCCTTTATTACAAAAACAATAAAGTTGGTGAAGGACTGGCAGTCTGGTTGGGGCATATCAGACCTGCGTTTCTGCATCACAGGCATGATGGTCATCTTGAATGGGCTCCTGATGGCTGTGGAGATCAACGTCATTCGGGTCCGAGTAGGTGTCTAATGACTTTTGTTTAGTTATTTGGATTCAAGACCCCAACATTAAAGATTACAGTTAGCCAGAAATCTTTAGCATTTTAAGTATGAAAAAATGTATTTGATCTCTATGTGTAAATATAAAGTTGAACTAATCACTAAGCTTCAGGCCATCTCAGTGTGACCTAAAGTCTATTTAGTCATTCATGGATATTGATTGATTGAGTGCTTGCTATATGCCAAACATCATGCTTAGTTCATATTACAGAAAAAATTGTTTTCGGCAGGAAATTCCATCATCCATGTTTGGTCCAAAGCACACCTGGGTTAAGCAAATGCTGCAGTCCCAGAAATTAGAACTGAAAAGAAGATAATCTAATCCAGTTTGCTTATTTCACTGATGAAGAAACTTTTATAGAGATAATTTTAGCTATATATTCAAATTAATACAGTCAAGACCCATACCTGGTCTGTAATTACAGATTTATTGTGCTTTCCACCACATAACGTTGTCAGTTGTGTTGTGTGAGATACTAGAGATGGATTTTTCAATATTCGTTTTCTATCAGAGAACTTCGAAGTTGCTCTATGAGTGGAAAGATATACTCTGCCATGAATGTGTGGAGAGCAGTCAGTTAACACCAGCCAAACCACAGATCCACAGAGTGACTCAACAATAGTGTTGATAACACATTTTAAAATCTAAACAATCTAAAAATCTTAAATTAGTTCACACTATCCCAGGATATCATGAAAGATTGGTTCTTAGTATTAACTATCTGTTAAAAGACTAACTGATTTTTTAGAATTGGCCCCAAGAGGATTAAATGAGAAATTCTGGTATTTAACTAGTTATTAATAATCCAGTCACAACAGAAGGGAAATATTTCAAAGAATATTTCAGAAAGGGATAGAAGGAGGGATTAAAATATAAATTTTAGTCATCTGAAATGAAAATGTGGAAAAGGTTGAAATTTTATTTTTAATATGTGGAAAAAGAATTGAGCTAATTGTTACATTGTGGAATTTTATTTTATTTATTTTTTGTGATAGAGATATGTATTCTTCACGAATCCTCAGAAAGTAAAGCCTCCTGAAGACCTCCAGGATCTGGGAGTGAGATTTCTTCAACCATTTGTGAATTTACTGTCAAAAGCAACATACTGGTGGATGAACACACTTATCATATCTGCTCATAAAAAGCCTATTGATCTGAAGGCAATTGGAAAATTGCCAATAGCAATGAGAGCAGTAACAAATTATGTGTGCCTGAAAGATGCATATGAAGAACAAAAGGTAAGTTAGTGTTTGTCTTCCATGTTTTTAATTGTAGAAAATGAACATATTAATTATAATAGACACAAGGCTTAAATAAATACTATCTAGGGTTAAGGAAGAGCAAATTTTCTCTGTCTTCCTCAATAGTTTTGAGTCATGTTAATTGGGCCACTGAGGAAAGACTGGAAGAGCCAATAAAATATAGTTAATGTTGTGTTAGTTGCCCAGTCAATACATGAGGAAAGATAGAGAGAGAATTGTCTTTTCTCTGCGACACGTGACCAGTGGAAAGTAAGAATTCAATTCAATGATTGTGTGTAACTAATCCATGTTACCATAGAATATTATTAATTCATGGAATTTTTGATATGAAGTCTTTCTCCAAAGCATCTTGTGAATAATTTTGTTATGTAAAGGTAAAATAGATCATATCTAGTAATAACCACTTTTAAGAAATTAAAAGCCTTATGTTAATTATTTACTAAAACTTGGATTCTGTAGTTCAAACTTGGCAAACTAAATTAAAAGGGCATTGTCTACCTATTCCATGTATCATCCTATATTTCTGCTAGAATTGGTTTCCTCTGGCACTTTTTTTATTAATAAATGTTAATAATTGCTTTAAAAATTAAAGATGAAAGTTTTTTGGTTATTTTTATTTTGTTTTTTATCATTCTAACTAGTCATGCATGCTATCCACAGTGGTAGATGTGTTTTCTATTGCAATCATCTACAAATTCAGTGCCGTTTAAAATATTAGCATTCTCAACAACACTGGAAGGGAGTAGGGTATGGTGAGTCAGTTAAAGAGTTTTTGGCTGTTCTAAATCAAGATCAACAAAGCATTTATGGTAAATGATGAAAATGACCTCTGTTTTGTGTGAGAAATGTGTGTTATGAAATTAATATGGCAGGAAATGGTTACTACAAATGAACCTGAGTCATTTCTCTGGTTTTACCTCTGGGAAAAGTATTGCATAAAAATTTTTAATTTCAATATAGCCTAAGCATAGCTTAAGTTTTCTGAGTGCTTCTTACAACAGAGATTAGCTTGTACTTGGTGTGTGTATGTCATACTAATAAATTTTAAAAAACAATCAAATTATTCATTCTAACAGGAGATCAAATATGAAACACAATCGAACTCTACTCCATTGAATTGGCTTCTTTGCCACAGTGAAAAAACTTTATCCACCTCCTTCCTAGTCTTAATTATGATGATTATTCAGGTCTTAAAATCTTTACCACATACAAGTATAAATGTGTGAAGCCACAAGTTGACTTAAGGATAGACGCCATTCTTCATTTTGCATTTCTTGAGGAATATCTAGTGTCCTAGCCCATCATATATTGCTATAAAGGAATACCTGAAACTAGGCAATCTCAAAGAAAAAAGTTTTTTTGGCTTGATTCTGATGGCTGTAAAGTTCAAGATTGGGCATCTGCATTTGGTGGGGGCCTCAGGCTGTTTCTACTCATGGCAGAGGTGAGGTGTAGCTTGAGCATGCAGAGATCACATGGTGAGAGAGGAAGCAAGAGAGCAGAGGGAGGTGCCAGGATCTTTTTATCAACCAACTCTCATAGGAACTAATAGAGTAAGAACTCACTCATCCCCAAGAAAGGGCGTTAATCTATTTATGAGGGATCCACCCCTACAACCCAAACACTTCCCATTAGTCCCCACCTCCAACACTGGAATTTCAGCATGAGGTGTTGAGGGGTCACATATCCAAACCATAGCACATAGGAAACCCACGTCTATCCTAATTTTAAAAAATATTGACCACTATTCATGGAGATGAGAAATACCTGGAAGAGAAATAACGTGAAATTGGGATGATCTATTTTGTTCAGTTTGTAGTAATCTGATAGCAAATACCTTGTGATTTAGTAACTGCAGAAATCTTAACCAGTCTGCCAATAACCTTGATCTTTGTCCTTTATTATCTTCTTTTCTATACAACATTACTTGGTAATTTTCATGACAGATACACATTTTCCAAATGATAGGGAATTAAAAATGAATTTGGCTTTAGGAATTTTGTGTCATCCTTTGACTATTAAAAATAATACAGAGTCTTAGAAAAACTTTTTTCTTACTTATTCTCTCTGTTTCATTAAAACACATTCCGTGGCTACTGTTTGCATGGAATACAAGCATACAGAGCCGTGCGTACTGCACTGAAGGGGACTCATTAACATCTATCTTTAAACCTTTAAGATATTTTCAGTACTGTCAGAAGGAATTTCCATAGTCGCTGAGATCAGTTGCTGCTCTAAGCGATTTTGTTTTGTTCTATCTGGTTTTTCTTTCAGAAAAAAGTAGCAGATCATCCAAATCGGACTCC